TGTGTGTGTGTGTGTGTGTGTGTGTGTGTGTGTGTGTGTGTGTGTGTGTGTGTGTGTGTGTGTGTGTGTGTGTGTTAGGGTGGCCCAGGAGGATCTGGAACTGGCTTTGGCAACTTTGAGGAAATTGGACCCTTGAACAGAGATCTAGAGCCCAGAAAAACAAGCTGGGTAAAGATTTATTGTAACTGAAGAGTGCTTCAAAGAAAGTATTAACGAATAGATTAGCATGCTGACGTGTGTGTGTGTGTGTCACCTTTAGGTCCAGGCAGCCAATTTGTTATTTGTAGATAACCCTGTGGGCACTGGCTTTAGCTACACAGACAGGCCAAATGCCTATGCTACCAATGTGTCCACTGTAGCCTCAGACATGCTGGTGCTGCTCAAACACTTCTTCTCAGAAAGGCCTGAGTTCCAGGTATGTCCATTATTGCATTTTTTATTTTTATTTTTGCCTGTTTGTCAGAAAGATGGGCTCATCAAACGTTGTCTAAAGTGACTCCAAAACACATTAGTATTAAAGGACCTAAAGTGTACTGTTCTGTTCTTTTCAGAGCATCCCCTTCTACATTTTCTCTGAGTCATATGGAGGGAAGATGGCAGCTGCTATCTCCTTAGAGCTCAGCAAGGTGAGGTGACTTATTTTGGGATCTTTCTGTTGTTCTTGGCACAGCATTCAGTTCAGTGTGAGCTCCCTGCTATTGGAAAGTCCCAGTAATAAAGATGTCATGTGATAGAAAAGGGAAGTAGAGACAACGTGACGTTAAAAAAAAAGAAAGAAAAAAAGCCTGTTCTTCTGGAGAATTAAGCAATAACTTTTATTGTAGTTTGTTTTATTTTTTTAGCTGGTCACATATTTTTTTATATTTTATGAGAGAGAGATATTTAGAGCTGTTAATGATTTATATTCTGTTTAAAGCACATTGATTGAGTTAAGTAACATGAAATGTGCTTTATAGATATAGCTGACATTCGCAATGTTAAATTGATAGGTATGCTGTATGAAATCAGATTGATGGCCATTTGTACCACCAGTCAAAAGTTTGGACACACCTTCTCATTTAATGGGTTTTCTTTATTTTCATGACTGTTTACATTGTAGATTCTCCCTGAAGGCATCAAATCTATGAATGAACATATGGAATTATGTAGTAAACAACTCAAAGGATGTTTTATATTTTAGATTCTTCCAAATATCCACCCTTCGCTTTGATTACTGCTTTGCACACTCTTTGCATTCTCTGGATGAGCTTCATGAGGTCGTCACCTAAAATGGTTTTTCAACAGTCTTGAAGGAGTTCCCAGAGATCCTGAGCACTTGTTGGTCCTTTTGCCTTCACTCTGTGGTCCATCTCATCCCAAACCATCTCCACTGGGTTTAGGTCAGGTGACTGTGGAGGCCAGGCCTCCATCACTCTCCTTTTTGATCAAACAGTCCTTACACAGCATGAAGGTGTGTTTGGTGTCATTGTTGTTGAAGAATAAATGATGGTCCAATGAAACACAAACCTGATGAGATGGCATGCCGCTGCAGGATGCTGTGGTAGCCATGCTGGTTCAGTGTGCCTTCAATTTTGAACAAACCCCCAACTGTGTCACCAGCAAAGCACCACCACACCATCACACCTCCTCCTCCATGCTTCACAGTAGGAACTTCCTTTCACCTTTTCTGCTTTACACAAAGAAATGGTGGGTGGAACCAAAGATCTCCAATTTGGACTCATCAGACCAAAGCACAGATGTCCACTGGTCTAATGTCCATTCCTTGTGTTTCTCGGCCCAAACAAATCTCTTCTGATTGTTGCTTTTTCTTAGTCGTGGTTTCTTAGCAGCTATTTGACCATAAAGGCCGGATTCACACAGTGTCCTCTGAACAGTTGATGTAGAGATGTGTCTGCTACTTGGAACTCTGTGTTACGTTTATCTGAGCTCTAATCTGTTAACTTGAGATTTGTGAGGCTGGTGACTCGGATGAATTTATCCTGAGCAGCAGAGGTGACTCTTGGTCTTCCTTTCCTGGGGCGTCCTCATGTGAGCCAGTTTCATTAAGGCACTTGATGGTTTTGCGACTGCGACACATTCAAAGTTAGCAATGTTCTGGACTGACTGACCTTCAGTTCTTAAAGTAATGATGGGCTGTTTCTCTTTACTTAGCTGATTGGTTCTCGCACTAATATGAATTCTAGCAGTTATCAAATGGGACTGTCAGCTGTGTACTAACACGACTTCTGTCCAACACAATCTCTCTGTCTCAACCCCAATAAGAAGGCACAAAATTCCACAAATGAACCCTGACACAGCACACCTGTGACGTGAAACCATTTCAGGTGACTACATCATGAAGCTCACTGAGAGAACAGTTTGCAGCCCTGTCAACAAAGCAAAGGGGTGGTTACTTTGAAGAATCTGAAATATAAAACATATTTATTTACCAATATTTTTCTTTCTTACATCATTCCATGTATCTTGCTTCATATATTTGGTGTCGTCAGTATGTATCTACAATGTAGAAATTAGTAAAAAATAAATAAAACCATTCATTTGTGTCTCTTATCTGTTTATAGGCCATAACCCAAGGGACAGTCAAATGCAACTTTTCTGGTGTGGCACTTGGAGACTCATGGATTTCACCACTGGGTCAGTATCAGATATTAAGTATCAACACCATGTGCCAAGAAAGACTTCATTTTAACCATAGGATGAGAACAAATGGCAGGTTTTTGCTGTTGACGTTAAAAACTGAGAATTCTTTTATGTAAAACTTCAAGCAAAGCTGAGTGAATTTCTGTTGATACACTTTTGTTTCATCCACAGACTCTGTTATGACATGGGGACCATATCTCTACACCACTGTAAGTAACACACCATAGACTGCATATATGAACCTGTCTTGATGTCACCAGTTGGTACAATCCTGCATTTTCACCATTGCAATCTTGGCGTTTTAAAACTGGATGTGATGAGTGAAACATGGATCTGACTGAAAAACGTTGCGAGCTCATTGGCTACCACTTATCATTGGGTTCTTTTTCCTTTAGCATAATCAGTTTATCCTCCTTTCTGTCTCTAATAGTGATCATAACTTACTAAATGAACTCCATTTTGCATTCACTATGACCTGAAATTAGCATCTAATCTCAACAGTGTCATCATTTACAAAAAATGATGACACTGTTGAGATTATGAAGCTACGATGATCTTTCATATACAGTGTATGTAACACAGAGTCTTTTTGTCCATTGTGTTGAGCTTCCATATGATTCTGTCTGCAGTCCCTCCTGGATGATTACGGCCTGGCAGATGTCAGTAAGGCAGCAGAGGCAGTGAAGCAAGCCGTGGAGCAGGGCCAGTTTCTTAAAGCGACTGAGCTGTGGTCTATGACGGAGTCTGCTGTAGAGCGGGTTTGTACAACACTACATAATTTGGAGAAAATGCTTGCTGGATATTTAATGCATTGTCTAATCTTAAATTGCTTTATGGAAGTGGTGTTCCATCGGGGCAATCAGGGCAAGCAGTGCTTGTCTAGTAGAATCTACCAACAGACATTAATTTAAACATACAAAAGAGGAAGCATCTCTCCTTTCATCTCAAACAACCTTGTCGTAAAACTTCTCACCTGTTTGCATTTTTTTTGAAGTTGGGTGATCGTGGCTCAAGAGTTGGGAGTTCGCCTTGTAATCGGAAGGTTACCGGTTTGAGCCCCGGCTTGGACAGTCTCGGTCGTTGTGTCCTTGGGCAAGACACTTCACCCGTTGCCTACTGGTGGGGGTCAGAGGGCCCGGTGGCGCCAGTGTCCGGCAGCCTCGCCTCTGTCAGTGCACCCCAGGGTGGCTGTGGCTACAATGTATCTTGTGGCCATAGTTTGTTCATGGCTCTGGAAGCAGAATTAACTCTGCTTGACTCCATTCTTTGGAATCTGCATCGGCCAATGTTTTCATGGGCAAATCTGTGTCCCAATAAAAATGGCTTCAGCCTGTCAAGCTGAGAAGCCATGTTTGCATATGTACATCATAAACTTCTACTCTCTGACTGATAGTGGAAACTGATATGATCTCTTCAACAGTGTTATAAGATAGTGTGTATGGAATCGCTGTTGCTTTTATTCTGTTATACATGCATAACCTGTTTAACTGAGCTGACTATTAGTACAACTATATATTAATATGGTCACCTTTGGCTAGGAGCATACACACTGAAGATATGTTATATTTTTGTGTAAACAAAATGTTAATAAAGTAGTTTTTGCCATATTTATGTATTGTTTTGTCTTATTTTTGGTTTTCCTTAAGAATACCAATGGAGTCAACTTCTACAACATCCTAACTCAGAGTTCAGATGAGAAGCTCACCTCTTCTGCAGGGCTGGACTTTATCAGTAAGACTCTGATCTAAATGATTCCATCTAGTTAGTAAACTAGACCACATGGGTTTGGTGATTTTAAAATAAACCTGTCCTACTTAAGTCTAAATGAAAAGTAAAAAGTAAAAAAAAAAAATTCTTCGACGACTATCTACTGATGCTCTTCCTACTTTATACCAGGTCTGCAGAAACATCGTCACATTCGCCCCCTCCACAGCCAGTCCCTGAGTCAGCTGATGAATGGACCAATAAGGAAGAAGCTGGGTATCATTCCTGACAATGTCACATGGGGAGGTACGATTTCTTGAAGTGAAAGATCAAGGAACTGTTTGTCCTTTTATTTTAGATGCTTGAAAATACTAAACATCATAAAACCTTGTTCCCTCTCCTGTTTTTGCTGTGACCTCAGGTCAGGCTGATGAGGTCTTCACTAACATGGCAGGAGACTTTATGAAGCCAGTGGTGGACATAGTTGACCAGCTGCTGACTGCTGGAGTTAAAGTCACAGTCTACAATGGACAGCTTGATCTCATCGTGGACACTATGGGTTAGTTACTCAGTAAATTACGAAGATGGGTGACGCACCAAGTACAGGGTGGGCCATTTATATAGATACACCGTAATAACATGGGACTGGTTGGTGATATTAAAGTCCTGTTTGTGGCACATTAGTATATGTGAGGGGGCAAACTCCTCAAGATGGGTGGTGACCATGGTGGCCATTTAGAAGTCGGCCATCTTGGATACAACTTTTGTTTTTTCAATAGGAAGAGGGCCATGTGACACATCAAACTTATTGGTAATGCCACAAGAAAAACAATGGTGTGCTTGGTTTCAACTTAACTTTCTTTCATGAGTTATTTACAAGTTTCTCTTTGTTCACAGCCATTGACATGTCAAAGAGGTTAACA